GGCTGGCAGGAAAGTTGACATTTTAAAACTTAATAAAAAATCGATACAGGGCTTTAGAATATCGATACAGCATTGGGAAATGAAATATCTTGATATTTCAGTGTATTGATATTTTCTTACACCCCTAGCGGCTTAGTGTCCTTTGTTATCATACAGATGACCGACTGAAGCCTATCCTGAACCATAAAACCAACTGCTTCAAATGTTCTGTTGCTAAGTCAACATTTTCCACCTATCAAAAGAATCAAATTCAACAAGAAACCAAGATCTAAATAACAGCCAAAAGATATTTTATGAATTTGTCTCATAACGTCACTGCTGTAAAGTCACCAACTTTCAGGGGCAACTGTGGTTAGGGGAGTTCTCCTGTAACCAGTCGGTTGCTGGTTTGATCCCCTGTTTCATCCATCATAGTCATTGTGTCCTTGGGCAAGACATTTCACCTGCCTTGCCTACTGGTGGTGATCAGAGGGCCCGGTGGCACCGGTGCTTGGCAGCCTTGCAGTGTGTCAGTGTGCCCCAGGGCAACAATGTAGCTTACCACCATCAGTGTAAGTGTGTGAATGGGTGAATGATTAATGTGTAAGGTGCTTTGGAGTCCGACGGAACTTTATAAGGTGCTACATAAGTTTAGTCCATGTTCCACCAATTGGTTAATCTGCAGTAAGAACAATAAATTTAGGGGACTAGTGCCCACCACTGGACATGGGTATGGCTTTTTAAACGTTGAATGAAATATCTGGTTTAAATTGCATACAGTTCTGAGATCTGTCTTTTTAATTGTATGTATTTATTCATTTCTAATCTTAGGTCAGTTCAACAACATGCCTGTTGAAGTCCAGTCAGACGGGACTGGAACAGGGGCCCATGTACCAGCACACCTGACCCAGATTCCCATTGCTGTCATCAACATTGGAATCGACTGCACCAACAAAATAGTCAAGGTTTGTTTATTAAAGGCTTAACAACTTTACTCTGTTTTTGATGCTACCCATGAAGAATTTATGGAAGCTCTTTTTTTTTTAAATCAGATGATTAAAACAACATCTTAGGACCACTTACAGGAGACAGCTTGTTTAAATTTTGCGACTAAAGTCAACTGGTTTGTATTTTATTTAAAGGATATCATCAGAACAACAAAAATAGTTATTTTGAGATTGAAAGAAGAATCAAACACCAATGAAGAATTTGGTTCATTATAGCTTTGTGTAGATAGTGCCTTTGGTTTTTTGAAAAAAAACATTGTTTAGCACCTTGAGCAGTGCACAATCAGTAAATAACTTCTGCAGGTTATAACTACAGAAGTACAAAATATTTTTTTATAAACAAGTTTTTGAATAAATTCAATCTGTGTACCGCCTTTTACCATTCATAATGTACTGTGTTTCACATATTTTATTCGTTTCATCATTTTTCCCCATTCAGCAATCTAAGATTTCTGTTTTGTTATATTTTATAAATATATCCAAGTTTATTAATATGTGAGAAATCCACAATTTTCTGTTTATTCAGTCAGTAATTAATACAGCTGGTACAATAAATATTTAAAATACACTGCCTGGCCAAAAAAAGTGTCTACCTGGATTTAACTGAGGTCTATGATGTGGGGTTGCTGCAGTTGGTCAGGTCCAGGTTCAGTAACAGTCTGTGCTCAAAGAATGAGGTCAGATGACTACCTGAATATACTGAATGACCAGGTTATTCCATCAATGGATTGTTTCTTCTCTGATGGCACGGCCGCATTCCAAGATGACAATGGCAGGATTCATAGGGCTGGAATTGTGAAAGAGTGGTTCAGGGAGCATGAGACATCATTTTCACACATGGATTGGCTCCACAGAATCAATTGAGAATCTTTGGGATGTGCTGGAGAAGGTCAGACTCTACCATCATCAATGCAAGATCTTGGTAGAGTAACGCAACGCAGGATGGAAATAAATCTTCTGACATTGCAGAAGCTTATCGAAACAATGCCACAGAGTGTGTTCCATAATCAAAGCTAAAAGCGGTCCAGTGAAATATTAGTGTGTGATTTTTTTGGTCTTTTTATGGCCAGGCAGTGTTTAAATATGTGATTTTTTTAAAAATTCAGCATATTCTAAAAAAGAAAATCAGGCTTTCATGTTACAGAAAGACCTTGATACAAGAGAAAAATCCGTTTTTTTAAGAAAATGGCCATCAATTAATCACTGGTCAGTGAAAAAGATCAGTCAACTTTAGATTTCTTTAAACTGTCAGATGTTACCTGGAGTACCTGCTCACTGATGGTGGGAGAGTTTGTGGCTTGTTAGAGCTCACCTCAGACCAAGCAGCAGAAGTCATTCAGTTTATTTTGGAATTTGGGATTGTTGTGTTAATGCCATGCCACAACTCCCCAGAATCTTCATGATCCATTAAAAGACTGCTGAACTTCTGGACAAGCAGTCTCTTTGCTTCCCAAACACCCTGGGACAGATTTTCCCTGTCTGTATGCTGTCATATCTACAGATTTAAAAACAAAAATACAGGCCCTTAACAACAAACAGATCCTTCCTGTCAGCCAAGGTTTTTGATTGATGTGCTTTCTGATCTTTTAAGAAAACAGTCACATCATTTATGCATTTATTTATGTAGTCAATGGCAGACTCTGTGTGCTCTTGTGGTTTCATCCTTTGTAGCAGTCTCTTTATATATGTCCCACTGAGTTCACTCAAAGTACTCAGGCAGAGCTGTAATTGATTTCTGAGGCCAAATTCTGACATTTAACGTAGTTTTTTTATTTGCGTGACCATAGGTCTGTATGCAGGAGTAAGCATGACAGTCAGGTGATAAGAGCCACCAATATGTTGGAGGGGCTTTGCTTTTTAACGGCTTTAGATGTTTGTATAAATGTGACCTAATGG